ATAATGGAAAATAAAATGGCAGCTACTATTTAGGGTTTAGGGTTTAGGGTAGGGGCTATATAGGGATAATGGAAAATAAAATGGAAGCTACTATTTAGGGTTTAGGGTAGGGACTATATAGGGATAATGGCAAATAGAATGGAAGCTACCATTTAGGGTTTAGGGTTTAGGGTAGGGACTATATATGGATAATGGAAAATAGAATGGAAGCTGCTATTTAGGCACTCGCATTGTTTTTCCACCTGCGAGCTGGTTTAGGTTCGAAGAGCGAATGCCACGCCTTGCAGCATACATTCATAGAGTGCAAAGCCAAAGCCACGTTGAAGGCGGTACCTTTGTTTGTTCCAGGTGGAAGCTTTCGCAAGTACAGCAGGAAAAGACGCGGCAACACTGAAGATCCTGTCTCGCACTTCTTGTGGTTGGTCAGCCAAAAAGGTTGCCGCCTCCACTTCTTGAAGATATATGTCCATAACCCTGGGACTCAGCCATCGGCCCCTCCTACGCACCAAATCAGGGTTTTCGCTGTACTGAAGCAGCCACGTTGCGCCTCCAGGCCGAAAGGAGCCTAATTCGAGGCCTTTCTTTCCAGATCTCTTCCCGTCAGGGAGCCCCAAAACATCGCACAGCTTCTGAAACCTTGTTCTGAAAGTCTGGCCTGAGAACGGCCAGAGCTGTTGCTCTGGGTCCAGCGTTGCGAAGGCGATTTTTAGGACTTCCAGGAGGTCAGGGAGGTCGACCTTGGCGGCTTGGTGACGAGCTGCCCTCCGCCTGGTTTTTGGCTCCTCAATCCTCAGCAGTGCAAAGCGCTGACTGTCGAAGACGTCGGAAGGTAGAACCAGGTATTTCCGGCATGCAGCAACAACTTCTCCAGGCCTACAGAGACCTCCCCACATCAGGGAGAAAAGCCCAGCTTCTCGGGTCCAGCCTCAGACCAGGCACGTTGTAACCATAGCAAGCAGTACGAGTCCAGGAAGTGCAATATGGTGGATATGCGGCTCCAAAGCCATCCAGTTATACGCAACGTCCCATGCTCCAACCAGCTGCCTGCGAAGGGCAGGCCTGGAGGCTGCCAAGGCATTAATGAGCTCAGAAAAATGACCGTAAGGGCGCCCAGACCTGAAAGAAATTGACCAAAGTTCACCAACAGCCGGTTCACCACTTCAGGGTCACAGCTGTTCTCGGCGATGAGGACGTCGAGGGTGTACTCTGAGAAATCCTGAAGCCATCGTCCAAAATCTAGAAGTCGGGCTCTTCGGTGCGTGTCAGTCTTTGGCAACACGTCCCTCCCAGCCAGCAGACCCTCAGAACCCACCCAAACCGACCCTGAAAAACCCCAAGGTGCTTAGGGGACTTAGGGCAAGCCTTTGGCCAGGCAGAGGGGTACGCACGGGTCTTGCGAGGGTAAGGCAGGAGAAGGTTGCCGGGCTGGTGCGAGGCACAGGCAAAATCACTGAAGTGAAAGGCGGGCTGGAGAAACCAGCACGCAATGGCGCTCAGGGCGCCCAGTGAAAACGACAGGAGGAAAATGGCGAGGCTCGTGATGGGCTGTGTCGCCATTGCACAGAATGCG